TGTGTGTGTGTGTGTGTGTGTGTGTGTGTGTGTGTGTGTGTGTGTGTGCGTGCGTGTGTTTCTCACCCGTCCTTTAAGTGGGGGTTGATTCCTTCTGCCCTCTCTGCTGAATTTTTGGCCACTCAAACTTCTTTGGGTGAAAAATTGAAAACATACAGCAGGAGCAAGAAATCCCACTCTGCCATATCTAAAACCATCCCCAAGAAATATTATCTTGTAGGTTTTGCCTGAGGCTGATTATTTTTGAGATGAAACAGAGCAGAGGAACCTCCTCTGGAAGCTCCTCACCACCRGAGGAGATCTGAATAGGAGGAAACCTGGAAGACACGTGAAGACTGTTGATTGTGCTGTAGTGGTTTAAAGAGAATCAGAAGTGAGTAAATGTGATGATTTTGAGATTTTCCTGTGAAGTTTGACTGAGAAAACTCCTAGCCAGTGTTGTCTTATGATCATTTAAAAAGAAAAACAAATACATAACTCTCCRAATGACTGCGACTTAAGCTGGTATTTAGGACTTAATTTGGTTCTTGAAGCCCAATGAGCCTTTTTTGTTGTTGTTTATTGTTGATTTTGAAATTTCCAAAGTCCCTGAAAGAAAGAAAAGATACATATCTACAAAGATAGCACTAAATCTGCTAGATAGGTAAAAAAGAAAAACTGGAAAAAAAAAGAAAAGAAAAAGAATTGGCCATTTTTTTAAAGCTTGCTTGTATATGTGCTCTCAGTGTTCTATAGCACTTTTCTGTCAACTAAAACCTCACCTTGAACCCTTCTAATCCTCACCCTTCTTACCCAGGGAGCAACTTGCTATTTATGCATTCAAGACGCCATTTTYGATCACCGAGAGTTACCTCAAATCAGACCTGCCAACCTTCTGTTCAGGTCCTGTCTCCTACACATACTCTGTCACCAGAAGCCAGTTTACGTTGACGTTCCCACCTAATGTCTTTGAGCTCCCTGGATTTCAGGGAAACAAGCAAATGTATAAGCAAAGCGAATGAAATATGAAACTTCTGAAAAGAGTCAGTTCACATGGAATAGCTGAAGAAGTTAGCTGGATTTTATTCCTCTGGGAGAATGTTTTGTATTTCAAAGGATGGATAATTTGTGTTTGTGCAGAGGGGGTTTACTTTAATGTTTGAGAGGTTAAAAGTGGCAGTTCAGCTTTTATTCTTTTTCTCTTTACAAATGATTTACCACAGCATCATTCTTTTTCAACACCCCCCTCCCCTCCACACACTACTCCTCTTTTGCGCTTTGGACCTACTTTACAAACCTATCTATTGTTTGTGGACCTAGACATCCTCCTCTTAGTCCTACTCTGGCAGGTTCAGTCCAGGTTTTATAGGATGAGGGCTCTGCCTTTAAGCATTAGTTTAAATTCTGAAATGGCCATTATTATTANGGGGTTATAACCCCCTAACCCCCGTGTAAATTACGCGGGTGTCTCTCAGTGAGGTAGACTGTAATCCATCTCACCAGGTGTGGGTCTACTTCCATCTCAGTCAGGGTGTCTCTCATTAGGGGCAGTTGGGGATGTTAAGATGTAAAAATGTTAGAGGAATAAAAGAACATTATTTTCAAAGCGCCACCATGTTCGTCCATGTGAGTACATTCTGTGCAGCAGAGAGAGGACGACACCTTTTACACTGGTTTCAAACTGAAGTGGATCTTTGCCAGGGTCAACCTGAGGTCTCAGGAAATGGAGAATCAAGGTTTATTAACCAGATTGAGTCTTTCACTACAAAGAATGTACTTTGAGCACTAACACAATGCACATCTTAATTTGAGTTTGTGCATGTTAGTTTGGAGRTTTGACCAAAACAGCTACAACTGAAACACAGAATGAAGGTAATTAGACCTTTAATTGGATATGGTTACCTTTTCTTACTACATTGTAAATTATTTGAAGCAAAACACTTTGTAACTCAGGTTTTAATAAGTGCAAAATAAATAAAGCATACTTACTTCACTCACTTCTGTTTTTATATATAAAAAGCTCATAAGATGTTATTAGATGTTTCTCCACAGATGTTACACAAATCCGAAATATAGCTCTTTAGGAAGAACTAATGGACAGCCTGACTATTTATCCATGTTTCTGTATTCTTCTCATCTCTGTGTCTTCTCTACATCTGGATCTACTTTCTTTTTCTTCCTTTAATAAATCCTCCTTTGCCTCCTCTTTCTCTCCTGTCTTCTATTTTTAGGTCCCACAGATCTCAGCATGAAGTCTGTCTCCTCTGCCAACGCCAGTAACTCTTCCTCTTCCATTATCAACAATAATGTGAGTGGGCGGGGCAGCGGTGGCAGTGGAGGGGGCGGAGCCTCAGCACAGCTCAGCCAGCCGGAGATTTCCGCAGTCCGTCAGCTGATTGCCGGCTACCGGGAGTCAGCTGCCTTCCTGCTCAGATCAGCTGATGAGCTGGAAAATCTCATCCTGCAGCAGAACTGAGCACACATCACTCAAAAATACAGTTGTGTGTGTGTGTGTGTGTGTGTGTGTGTGTGTGTGTGTGTGTGTGTGTGTGTGTGTGTG